CACACACACACACACACACACACACACACACACACGTATGTATAAATGTGTGTGTGTATACATATATACATACATATACATATACATACATATATGTATATACTGTAAACTGTATGTATGTATGTTTAGTTCATAATTGCCAATTGGACTTTTCAGAGATAAGGTGTTTTTTGAGAAATGGAGAGAGGGAAAATTATGGGGGGGTGGGGAAGCAACAGGATTATGCAGTATCCACGTTCCAAATTCTGAGGTCATTTCCGACCCCTCTGCGCGCCGTTCCTTTTTTATTTGATTTATTTTCATTTTATTTGCAAGTGCGGCAACGGAATGTTTAACGAGCCGGTCGGCTTCAACATGGCGGGTTCGGGCGTTCTTCACAAACGAGGGAGAAACGCGTTCTTTCCCATAAAGTTGAAGGAGGAAAGGGCTGGAAAGATTTGCGCGACACGCCGACGCGATCCTAAAGCTGAACAGCGTGGGCGCACCGACGCTCAGGAAAACGGGGGGGAGACTCTTAAGGAAGGATGTTTTAGGAGGGGGTGGGAATCGCGCTTCGCGATCCTATATTGCAGTCGGATTGAGCTTAGTGGAGCTTCTTTAAAAAATTATTGAAGTAAAATCCGAATTCTTGGGCGCTGAGGCGGGCGCTAGAATAAACGGGATAGGATCGCGCCGGGACCTGATCCTGGTGAAACTACCTCCGAGTAATGGAACGCAGGGCCCGATCTTCCTTTTCTTCGTCCCCTGGAAGGCACTCATTCTGTTCAATGGGCGTTCTCTCTAGTAAATAGGTATAGGATGGCAACCTTGAAATCCCAGTGTTGGGATCGCCTGTTTTGATTGATTTGGGTTTGATTTATGCTTTTGACGAAAGGGGCCGGAGAATGCAAACTCCGGGGCTTGAACGCTAAACCCGACTTCCCTGTGTTTCATGGCCACTCGGGCGAAGAGTTCTGTAGAACCGGGAAGCTTGCACACAATTTTGTGATGGGGGGGGGGCTGTTGGAAATCAAAGCGTTGCCCAGCTTCTGGGAAGTAGAACCGAAAGGCTCCAATCCTGCGCGCTCTTCCTTGAAAATAACCCCCATTGAACACAGGGGGCGGCGCGCCAGCAAGGTGGTGCCCAACCAGGTTCTCGGTGGGGCACCTTTTATCGGAGGAAAGCGCGTTTACCATCGACAGAAAGAGCGAAGTACGGGATAAGTGGGTTGTGGGAATCCGGGAAGGGCACGGGGAAACAGGGATGGGTGTCTACGGACTGTGGATCCCGCGCAGATTGGCGATGGAAGCATATCTGAACCCCTCCCCAGTTACGTGAAACTGGACACCTTAGTGAGCGTCAGGAACGCCTCAAATCCTATCGCTGGCTTTTGGGCGAGGGGCATGATTCTGGCGACTCGGGGCCTAGCGGAGCCCTCCGGGCCGCATCCGCAGAGGCTTAAGAACAATGAGTGCGAAAGGCGCGTGGAAGCGACCGGTGTGTCTCTGAAGCGGACGCCCTTTGCTTACCGAGAACAAGTAGGTGGAAGCGAACCTGATATTGACTCAGAAGCAAGACCTTCCCTGATTTCTTTGGCTGCGGGCTGGGTATGTGTGTGAAGGATCGCAGCCTGCCCTACAGTCCCTGTGTGATTCCTCGGAAGTCATTCCGATCTCCTTCAGCAGAGCTTCTTGCGAGGAGAGCCGCAGTCCTGTGCGCCCTTGCTGGGCCTCTCTCCCTAGTCAGCAAGAAGCCCTAGTTTGCTGAGTTGGATCAAAATCAAAATAAAATAAAATCAACGTGCTGGGGGATCGGAGTCGTGCAGCCGGATCCTCTGCGTGTTTCCTAGGAAACTGAGCCTCGTCCCGGTCAGTGTGCGGCTTAACTTCCCGCACAGGAGGGTGTGCGTGCGCGTCGGAACCTGTTGCCAAGGAGAAATGCGCCCACGCGCGTAGTGGCTGGCTCTGGAAAGGTAGCCAAAAATAAAAAAAGCAGCCTCCTTTTCTAGAGGCTGCGATCCTGGGGAGGTGTTTACTTGGGAGTAAGCAAACGGGTTGATCTCTGAGGATCCGCCCTCCCCCCTCCAAACCTTGGAGAAGAATCGAGATTCTTAAGAAAGGATAAGACAGGTATGAATTTGCACGTGGTTTTCCGCTCTTCTTGTGCAGACCCATGGAAAAGAGCGCTTGGCATTCAGATCAGACTTAAGTGGAATCCCATGCTTTGAAGGCCCAAACAGCAATGGTCAGAGTCCAGTGGGTGATTTACACTTGTGTAAGTCACTGTGGCAAATGGCTGCTGGTGAACCAGTGAGGGTTTTGTTCCTGTCAGTGGCAAGATGCAGGAACATGACCAGCACTTTGTTAACAAAGCATCAGTTTGCTGCCGGATTTGACAAGAGAAAGACATCAACACGGTTCTGGCCAATACAAGCGCTACTGCATGTTCCCAGAGGTGACCGAGGTTTATGCACTCAGATGCTTTCATTAGTTAAGGATTTTCCTCACCCAGTGGTGGGTTATCCCTAACACCTACTTCTGGCTGCATGTGTGTGTGTGGGGGGGGAGGGTACAGTTCTCTTTCCGAAGTTTGTCAGGAAGGAAGGTAAGAAGAAACAGGCCAAATCTTTGTGTAGTTGCTTTGTTGTTACTGTTGGGTGGTTATGTACCCCCCCCCAAGAACATTTCAAGATGAGGTGTTTTGAAAAGCAGGCAGGTGAAAGCAGGTTGAGTAGGGGTGGCAGTGAAGGAAAAAGCATTTTGAATGAACATCTGGTGCCCAGTCAGTGCTGTAGGGATGTGTGAATGAGGAGAAGTAAGAGTGTCTGGGAAAGAAACCCATCTTCCAGTGGTGTGAATGCTTTTGGAGGAATGGGCTTTCTCCTTATTTCTCCCTGTGTTGTTGGCCGAATTATAGAGTAAAAATAGAAGAAGACAAAGCAAAATGCTGTAGTACTTTAAAGGCCAACAGGTTTAGTTCATGGTGAGTTTTTGTGCATCAAAACCTACTTCTTTACGTTCTACGGTGCGCTCACTAAGCGAGGCACCACTGTATCTCAGAGATCATGACCAAATGAGGATACAGAGATTGGCAAACAGGCAGTGGTTTGTGAACACAGGAGTGGCACTATCACTTTTAAGTTTCTTGAGGCATGAGGCCAGACGAATAAGCAGTTTGTCAGGCAGACTTTGGAAACGGATGTGTTCTCCCTATAAGTCAGCATGTGTGGGTTTGCAGATGTCGTTTGGACCGCAGTCTCCATCAAAATTCAGTGTTATGCCTTGTTGCAATTAAAATACAATTAAAAGTGTGTTTTTCTATGCTTTTTATTCTATTTGTTGTCTTGTAATTTTATCCTCACTGCACTTGATGACTTTTGATTTTTGCCCCTATTTATTGATGTTGTTATTTGCTGTTTTGTTACTTTGTTGTTTTATGTTAGTGGTTGTATTTGATTTATATACCACCCAGCCTGCCAGATGGGTGGTATATAAATCAAATATATAAAAATAAATAGATGGTTGCTTTGAATCAGTTGTTGGTGTTGATTGTTTTTTTCCGTTTTTAGTGCGGTATTTGATTCTTCTAAATATTTGTGTATTTGTACAAGCACCCCAGAAGTCAATTTATTCCTGGCTTCCTCAG